GCTTAAGTTTCGTCGGAACGAAGTTACAGAAAGTTAATTAACAAACGGAGACGTGACAATATTATAATGAAGTCCTTTTAATCCGCAAACCCATCATTGTAAATGTTATATAATTTCTCAGAATTGTATTATCTTATCACCGTTAACTTGTGAAACTACATACAGGTTTATAAGTACACGTATTCTCGTTATATATATATAAACATTTAAATATCACTGTTGACAATAGATATCCAAAGAGAATTATTTCTGAAACCGCGCTCACATCCAGATGAAGTCAAAACGTGACCATTGAGTGTAACGCCTCTCTCTTTTACAAACTTTTAGAAGAAGGTGGTCGAAATACCAGTCACGTTTGTTTGTAGTTCAATCATACAGACTTATGAAACTATAATTACTTTTTTTATTGACAATATATATCTTATAATACCATTTAATCAACAATGAAATGTTTTATATAAAAAGTAAAAACAACTGCTAAGCAGCGAGCTAGCTAATAAGAGAGAAAATATTTTGCAATATTCTCTGAACCAGCTTAGACTACAAAAAAATGAGAATAAACTGCAGATGCTTTATATCTTCAGTTTCTGTGTCAATCAAAGTGAGAAACTGGAATTAGTATTGCCATTGGTATTTTCAATTTGAACAACACCTTATGAAACACATAGACTAAATTGCCGGGTTAGAGACTCTTAAGGTTCAGAACAAAATTATCCCTAATTTAGAACTGTTAACCATAGGGAGGGCAATCAGTTAGCAGTACTCGCTTCATATTGAATTCCAAATTTTCGATATGCAACCCGTACAATAACTACTAGGCCTAGTACAAAAAAAAAAAATATTCGTGTCAATACTTGGATCACAATCGATTTTGTACCCCCATGGGACAGCGATAAGTCTAGGGATTTACAACGCTAAAACCGAGGATCAATTCTCCGCGGTAGACACAGCAGATAACTTTAAAACAAATAAACATAATCAATTTTAGTGCTTTATTATCTTAGACCAACAATTATTCATAATTCTACATAATTTGCCTGCGCGCACTTGTTTCAGAATTTTATATATTATATTCCCCTTAATTTGCTAGTTATTTTCTTGTATGTTTTCCATCGTCATCATCATCATCACCATTATCATGATTATGATAACTAATATCATATCAACAGACGCCTTTTAAATGAAAAATTATAATGAAATGCTACTCAATCCTTCACCAGAACGAATAGAAAAATAATGTAATAAGCGATATGCGCTGCTGAAACAGTAAAAACTATAAATGTATTTAATAAATATAGCAGATAAAATATACATTTAAGAAACTGCCAAGTCTGATGTTTCCACAACCCCCCTTTGTTAACTCCAGGAGCTTGACATTTGTGAAAAACCACTTTACATTTAGCGTAAAGCAGACGATACTGCCCATTTGATTCATTCAAACAAAAAATAAGATTAGTACGTACCACTACGTAGTGAGAGTATACATTCTGACCATATATAGGAATTACACATTCGGAGCTCGATTACCTGCGAAGATTTACCCGATTACCTATTGAAGATTCACGTTAAAAAACCAATAACAAAAACATAGACCCCTTTTATGGACAGGATATTGCTATTTTTTGCAGAAATTGACTTAGTTTTTGAGGAGTTAAATACTTTACGAAAACAAGCCTTTTCCTATTACTTCGACCACTTCATAAATAGGGAAGAAAGCCTTTATTTCACCTTACGTAAAATATAGTAAAGTGTTACTATGGCCGTGATTGTTCCTTTTTTGTTCAATACGATAGTAGGATATTTCCATTGAACAATTTTATTCATGGATAGGAAAAAAACCCTTTAAAAACAAAGAAGTATTTTATAGAAGTTTGAGTTGTTTTCTAGGTCCATCAAATAAGCCTACAAGTGATAGATCTACAGAAAACTATAAAACAAGTATTCTTAAGAGCAACATATCATTATTATTCTTTTATAACAAACGCGACCCGACATAGAGAGGAGCCGAGAACTGGAGTTTCAGGTTTAATCGGGCCAGTTAGGTCAGTTGCAGGGAAGGTATTGTAGTACCTTAGCTCAGTACAGGGATAACATGTTCAAATTGAGCATTGTGTATTTTTGCTAAATATTAAAACACAATATCTCGTGGAGAATAACGCCAATATTGCTGTTTTCACAGTGTTCAGTTTTGTAGCCAGAGTAGAATTAAATAAAACAAATTTCAAAATTTGATTTTGGTCAACCACCTTTTCAAAATAATTTAAACTAATCAATTATATGCACATGGGGTGGCTGGGGGCGCTAGCCGTCCTTAATTTAGCAGTAAAAGACTAGAGGAAAGACAGCTAGTTATCACCACCCTCCGCCAACTCGTGGGCTACTCTTTTACCAACAAATAGTGGAATTGATCGTCACATTTTAATGCTCACAAGGCTTAAAGGGCGAGCATGTTTGGTGGGACGGGGATTCGAACCCGCAGATTACGAGTCGAGAGCCCTAACCACCAGACCGGAATTTGGCAGTCTTTATAGTTAAAAGAATAATAATTCTGATATGCTATTAAGTGTTAATACCCAACAATCCACTGTTTAGTTCGGGATCGTAACCATTTTTATAAGACCAGTTGAATAGGAATAAAAGAGGATATTTTGCTTCTATGTTTTTTACCTATGTGTACCAGAGGCAGTCCAAAGTTCCCATAGTCTCCTCTAGCATCTCCATCCCCACCCAAAAGAATAAACGTTTGCTTTCTGATACTTGAAAAGTGCTTTTTTTTCGTCAATGAGCCCCTACTCTTTTAATGTCTTCGGAAAATTACTGAAAATAATCACATATTATTCTCAAGCGAGACAAATAAAGCTCCAAAAAACTTAGACTTTGAAGAAAATATTGAAAAAAAAATCCAAACTAGGATTGTTGAGTCCAAAAGTTTAGCACAGTTAAAAGTACTGGTAAATAGAATGCGCAGAATAACCTGGTGCCCCATGCGTGTATCTATAACAGCAGGTTTCGAGAGCACGTCTGTAATCCTGAAAAACGTGTAATTTAGAAAAGAGTCTAGACAAAAAAAAACAAAAGATGGCTCACGTACCTGTCGCCCAAACAGTTTTCATTGAAACACCGACTCTTCCTCCTACTGGTTGTTTGTTAAGAGGAAAGCGCTGTGCAGTTCAGAGCATAGAATGCGCTGAATTCCAGTTATTTAAAGTCCAAATTGAAACTTTATAATTGTGATGAATGC